GAGAGGACATGTTAGTCCTTCCTGAAAAAATGCCCTACAGACCTACATAGTACCATGTCTGTCAATTTATTCAAGATCAAGTTGACAAGCTAACTGCCGTAGAAGGTTCCTTCCTCTTCATTTTCTTCTTTTAAAATTTGTTTTTAATTGAATTTTTGTGTTTCATACAGAACATCTCAATCAATCTTAATCATCTTTATACCTCCATCCCCACTGGCACCCTCCCATAGCGCCCCGCCCCCAACTGGAATTCATACATTCTGTCATTTGTGTTAAGGCCTATTGTGTCAAGTTAGTGTTCCCACATGTTCCTCAGTGCAAGTTTATCTACTGAGGTCTAGTCAGCTTATCTAGAGTCCCTTGCTTTAGGAAGATCAGCTCTTCCTCACCTGCAGTAATCAGTTGCCAATATTTCTTCAGCTAAGTTTAGTCTGCTGTCATTTCCCCAGCCCCAGTTCTATGCTAGGTTTTTGTCTGCTTGAGTTTGTATGGGGCTTGTGTATGCTGACACCGTTGCTGTAGATTCATATGAGCAGGGTCCCAGGAGCTTGTAGGACTCTATTTCTATATGGTCCTGCACCTCCACCCTGGCTCTTACAGTCTTTCCACCCCTCTCCAACAATGTCTCTGAGCCCTGGGTGGGTGTAGTTTAATATAAGAGCTCTGTCCAAGAATCAGCATTCTATAGACTCTTAATCCCTCCCTTTGGACGTTTGTGACCTTTTGTGTTTCTGGTCCTCTGTTGCATGAGGGAGCTTCATTAATGAGAGTTGATTCATCAGTGACCTCTTTACCCCTGTTCTATGTTCTCTGAGCCTTAGGTATAGAGGTTGCATTGTAGACATGTCACTTAGGCCTGGGCACTTCATAGACAATGTGTGTGACCAGTTGTGGTACTTGGTAATAGTCTCTGGCTGGTGCAAAAGAAGCTTCTTTGATGAATGGTAACTGGGATATTTGTATGTAAATATAAGAATACATATTTTGCACATAGTAAGAAATTACATTTGTCTAGGGATGTGACAGTCATGAGGTTTTCCCTAAAATCTGTGACCTCTCCAGCCAGGTATATTTTGTTATGTTTACAGTACCACATGGGTTTCCTCCCACTGAGTGGGCTTTTAGTCCAATTAGGTAGCTGTTGATTGCCCCCAAGATAAGAGTGCCACTACTGCACCAATGTCATATGCTGTGCCAGACACTGATGTGGTTATCTGGTCTTGAAGCTGGTGTTAGACCATCGATTGATGTTTTCCCTTGGCACCTTCATAGTGCTCTCCAAAGCTATGAGAGTGAGCCTTCAGGGGAAGTGGCTTCCAGGTCAGTTCCAGGTCCATTGCTCCAAATCCTGTGTCCGAAGTATGTTCTGTCTTCAGCAGTAGGGTCTTACCTGCAAGTTCTGTGAAACAATCAAGGGCTGTGGCAATAGCCTGTGTAATTTGGGTAATCTCTTGGATGCCCCCAGCCAACAACTCAAAGGAAGGTTTCTTCTGTCTGGCACTGTTTCTTTTATGTAGTCTTTAGCTATACATTTGGATTCATGCAGAGATATTGTATGTGTAATTTGTTCTTAGGTTGTTGGACTAATATGATTCCCTCTGTTTTATTTTTTTTTTAAGAAGAAGCATTTCATTACAGCTTTAACATACTCAATAGCAGTTTCCAGAGCAAAGATACATCTCTTTCAAAAGTGGCTATAAAATTTTTAGGTTCAGGGAGGCTATGGGAGGGTACCATCTGGGAAGTGGGTGTATAGATGAATAAGATGGTTTGC